TTCACCCGCAACAACCGTATCCGCGTTCGCCGCGCCGGTGGTGACGACGAGAACGGCGGCGGCGGGTCGTCGGATGAGGTGAGTTTGTGAGCGAGCCCAACGACACGCCCACAAGACACGACACACGCGCGGCCGACACACGTGTGCATCTCTGGGGGGATGGATGGATGTAGGGTGAGGGTGCTCCCGAGAGGAAGAAGGCCAAGAAGAGCCACCACCGCCGTGACGGCCCCCTCCAGCGCGGCATCATCGACAGCCAGAAGCCCATCGACGTCTCTCACGTAGTGCCCATCTCGGACCTCTTCAAGAACGAACAGGTGGGCCGGTCGGCCGTCGAAACAAGACGACCAAGACGAAGGTCCCTGTGTGTCTGTGAGTGAGTGTGTGTGTGTGTGTGCGTGTGTGCAGTTCCACTTCCTGGGTGAGGACGAGGAGTTTTCGCGTGCCGTTCTGACGGTCAGGGTGGTGGAGCTGGGTGCCGACAAGATGGTTCCGGTGCACTACAAACCTCTGACCACCACACGCGTCATCGCACCCAAGTGAGTACGCACAATAGATGTTCATGCCACCCACTGTGTGTGGACGTGTGGACGTGTGGGGCTTGGGGTCCAGGGAGACCTACAACACGCGCTGCTTCCATCGGCGGTGGCAGAAGGAGGTTATCAGGCCACAGTGGATCATCGACTGCATGGAACAGAACAGGGTGGGGTGCGTATGTGCGGGCGGATACGCCACGCACCACCCAGACAGACAGACAGACAGACAAACCATTCACCACTGTCTGTTTCTGTCTGTGTGTCTGTCTGTCTGTCTGTCTGTGTGTCTGTCTGTCAGAAGTTGGATCTGCACCCGCGGTACCTGGTGCACTCATCGCCAGAGCTAGACGAGAAGTGGGCCGACCTCATGGACCAGTACGGAGACCTCTACTACGAAGACGTCACGCCAGGTACACCCACTCACACACACGACACCTTCCATCCAATGTCTGTCTGTCTGTCTGTGTGTCGATGTGTCAATATTGGGTGTTAACACAGAGGGTCTGGCCAAGTTGATGGATTCGATGCCCACGCCCCCGCCCGACTCGGAGGCGGCCAAGACCGCCGAGTACCTCATGGAGAGATACCCCAACCTCATGCGCACCAAACAAATGCCTTACGTGTGAGTCAGTCTCACGCCCCCAACTTGCGACCGACCTATACAGGCATCCCTCTCCCTCTCCCTCTCTCTCTCTCTCTGTGTGTGTGTGTGTGTGTGTGTGTCACATTCAGGGGCATGCGCGTGTACATCGACCAGCCCAACTACCTGCGCGAGTACATCGGTAGCACCCCCCGGCCCCGCCCATCCGCAGCACCTGCTGCCTCTGCCTCTGCATCAGCCAGTGCTGCCGGTGGTGCCCGGCCAGCCGCCCCTCGCCAAGCACCGGCAGCGTCCAGGCACGACCTGAAGGCGGGATGTGACGAGCTGGACCGGATGACAGAGGAGATGGAGCGTGGCCTGGTGGCCTTGAAGATGTCGCAGCGGGGGGCGCGCATAGTCGACACGCAGGGCATGGCCACACACATCGTCACCACGGACAACGGTGAGAACACAGGGATGGATGGATGGATGGACGTGAATCTCTCGGATGGATCGCTCAGGCGTGTGTAAGGTGGTTGAGGTGCGTTCAGGGGGTGTGCTCGAGATGGAGGAGAGTGACGATGACGACATTCCCTACGACAATCCGCTGGACGTCATGGAAGAGGACACATAGAGAGACAGACTACCGGGGGATATATATGGTTGTGGGAAGGGGGGCGGGGTAGATAGAAATGTTGACGCGCGGGTGGGGTGGCATGGTCTGACTTGTTTGTCGGTGTGTATGTGTGTGTATGCTATGCTGCTTTGATTATCCATGGCGGTTCTGTTCCATCCAGGTGTCCGCTGGCCAGTTGAAATGTTCGACGCATCCCTCCCTCCCTGGTGTCCCGTACCTGAGTATACAGAAACCCACCACCGTGCACGAAACACTTCGCCCGACTCACTGATCTCGAGTGCTCTCACGCTGACTTCACTGCCGCCCCTCTCTGGTGCGGTGCGTGTGGCTGTGCTGATGAACACAACACAACAACCCCGGCCCCACACACCCCCTCACCGGCACATCGGTCGGTAAGGAGCTGCGTGTTGCCGGTGTGTCTGTGTCAGGCGCATCAGTGAGTGACGCCACACGCCCATCCATCCATCCATCGAGGGCACCCAGGCAGAACACACACGTACAAACGCACAAACGCCCTCACATGACAGTGTTTGTCTGTCCTGTCTTCATGGCTGCCCGTGTCCTCACTCACACCGTGTGCGTGGAGGAGTGTCACGCCACGTCGAAGCAACACCTGGACGGGATGCTGCTCTCACGCGCCGCCTGAGTCACACCACGCACACAGAGGGAGGTGAGGACACACACGCAGCTAACAAATCCGGTACGGGCCCTCTATCAATCCGACGACATGCAACCATCCCC